CACACACACAACACACACACACACACACGACCACACACACCACACGACACACACACAGCACACACATAACAAAAGTACTGTTTATTCTATTAAAATACTATTGTTGTGGCAAGGATAGTCCTGTGAGCCCTTTTTACTCCTGAAAAACCGCAGGAGTAAAAAGACTGAGTGATGTCACAAAATTTGAGGTTTACGGGGATGTGGTTTATAGAAGTTCAGGATTTTATAGTGTTAAAGTACTTTACTTCACCACACTACACAAATACCTAAAACGGGTAGATACTTATGCGGTTGATCACCAGTGAAGACCTTGAACTGTGTGAAAATTGTGTGAAATCAGTGCACTGAGTTTTCCAGGAGTATTTAGAGTATAAAAAGTCCAAGTTTGTGTGAGGTTGCAAAATTCGACCCAAAATCATAATTGACGTTATATGATAGGATAAAGGGTACCTGAGTCTCTATTAATTTGTAGTAGTTTTGTAATTAGATGACCGACTAAAATCGGTGGAGGAAGATTAGGATCTCTCTGGATCAATAAGGAATAATGAAATAAATTTAGCTTATCGGACTACTCGATTACATATCGAATAATCGTATTGCATCGATTTGGGTGTCACGTTCCTGGGGACGGTGTAGCCTTATAAGAGAGTGTCTTGACCTCTTACTTAACGTGTGGATTTACACTCCATGGGTAAGTAATGAAAAAGATTCTCCCCCCAACAATACTCTCGTTGGGTCTGATGGGAAGATAAAATCCTACACTTTAACATTGTCACCAAAAGGTTAAGGTTGTGGTTTAACGCCGATCTGATTAGTCATCTGGATCATTCGAGTACAATAAACACCTCGAATGGCGACAAAAATCATTTCCAAAATATTGTCATGAATGGAAACTTTCTGCGAAACAGAGCGCACGAGAAACATTGTAATAAACAAACTCATTTCCATTCGAACTTCAATGGTTAAGGATTGACGTCAACGGGTCCCAAAACGTGACTTTTCAATCGAATAGTTCGATCCCTAGGACGTAATCACTCTTGTACTCAATCATTCAATATTAATTTCGTTGTATTGTTATTATGGTAAAATTATTTGTAGTTAACTAGTTTATTTAATCTTAAAACATTACATAAAACATAACAAGAACAACTGGAAACAGTAAGAAGGGGTACACTACAAACGATTAACTCCTTGTTTACACCTCAGCATCTGGCACACCACAATGTAGCAGGGAGGTATAACAACCCATCGTCTATAACCATGCCAAGTCTTGATTAAAGAACTCAGAACTCAATGTCGGGTCTAGTGAGTACACTTAACAAAAATGATTTTTAGACACAGGGGATGTACTTTCAGTTACCTAAAGACTGTGCAATAACAACATAAAATTTAACGTGCTTTGACTCACTGTACTTAGTGCCGAGTCGGAAATCGACTGAGACTTCACTCGGTCTCTAGGTGGGAGTAGGAAGGTGGTCCATAATTTAAAATGCATCTGGATAAAGATATGTTCCATTAAGTTCAGAGGTTAGTTCAGGTGGTACGGATGTTTTTACGCGGAAAAATGGAGTAAGGTTAATTATATAACCACTTTATGTACATCTTAGGGTTATGATGTGCAGCCCCGTTCTTTCATAAATCAGTCGGTGTCGTTAACCACGTTCAGAGAGGGTGAATTTTTCTACTCCTCCGGACATTAAAAAGTAGGATGTCCATATGGAGTTGATTACTCTCTGTTTTACTCTTTTTTTTTTTAGGTCTTTTAGTGTAACAGACTAAAAATTTCTTAAATAAACGTTTACTCCACCTTTTATTCATTAAACCAGTTGATTGTTGGTGTGTTTCAAGTAGAGTTATGAAAACGAATATATGGCGGGGGAAATACAACCGTTGGAGTTCCCTGCAAAAACATTCGAAAGTGTTCCAAAAGTGGTGACAAGCGACCATAAAACGGGTAAGGAGGTACGTCTAGAGGAGATCTCGGTCACTACAAAGACCCCGACAGCGACCCGTTGTGTCTGAAAGTTGAGGGAGGTTTCTAAAAAGAATCCCCAACTCTAGACCTCTGACCGATCTCGGTGAGGTCCTGGAACTTTCTACGAAAGGGAAACAAAAAAAATAAAGAAATTTTTATATATATATATCGTGGTTTAACGTTGACTTCATTAGATAGATGCCAGGGGAAAAGGTGTACACGCAGAGGAGAAATAATTTATTGATTTGCGGATACAATAAATAATTACACCGTACAAGAGTCACTCAGGTGACGAAACGCATAAGTGTAAGAGGGAGCGAGACAAAGACTTCCGAGGCGAGGCGAGGCGAGAATGTGTTGGTTGACAATGGATAACGTCTAATTCAGGAAGGTCGGACACACGTCCAGATGTTAAAACAAGACCACGGGGAAACTTTCGAGAAACCGAACCGGTATCACCTTCAAACCTCGCACTGACAAACTCCAACACCTGTCCACAGGAAAATACGACGTATTGCTCAAGTTTTGTCCACGGTAATTTAGTGTCATTTGTTCACCTCCTGTGCTCCTCCGAGAATTTCTTCTTCAATGTCCGACGACACTCTCGGTCTTTAGAACAAACAAACATCCTTGGTTTATAATAATAATGGCTCCTTAAATGGTTAAGTAAGTACTTTTTAGGATGTTACACTAAAGGGACTAAGAAAGTTGGGGTAAGACAAAGAGGTATCAACTTCACATGGATCCTACTTTTAATGTTCCGGGAGAGTAGAAAAATTACCTCTTGAACGTGTTAACCACCGACTTGATTTATGAAAAAACGGGGGTACATAGTGAAGGTGTGTTATCATAAAATTATCCTTATTTGTCATGAAAACAAGTACACACACACACACACACACACACACACACACACACACACACACACACACACACACACACACACACACACACACAGATTTGAAGATGTATAAATGTAGGCCTGATACCTCCCTTCCTGTTTTCCTTCACTTCAGATAATGAGGAAGGTCGGGGGTTGTTCTGTGTGTGTGTGTGTGTGTGTGTGTGTGTGTGTGTGTGTGTGTGTGTGTGTGGGGGAGCAGCAAAGAGAAGGAGTCTGGGTGATTACTTCAGCTGTAATGAGAAAAACATCTTTCCCTTCAGGCTCTTATCCACCAAACTAGTGTGTCTGGAATGTAATCAGCTCCCTGCAGGACTGAGAGGCATCACAGTATGCCGGGCTGAGAGATGCTGAATTGGTCTGATTTGGAGGGGTCAGTCTGCAGCTGATTTGTTCAACAGCATAAAAAAAACATCTAAGAATTTCTGAAACATTATATTTTCTCAATAAGGATTGATGTCCAGGTACACTAACACTTCATAGGGGTTAGGGTATACTGTGTAGAGCTGTATCCAATGATCAGACTCTTTTTATCACATGGTCTATGAAAGCCATCTGCACTTTGGCTCCATCTTCAGAAAGAAGTGAGAAATGAACCACTTTCAACACAAACTACTTAGTTGTATTATTCCATTTTTACATTGAACATTATAAAAATTAGAAAGACTTGTTTGAAGCATTTTTTTTTTTGTACTAAGACCTGCTTCGCTCATATCAGACCCTTCCTGATGGTTTTTGACAAATAATCTTTGCTCTTCACACATTTATTTAAATTATTGATACAAGCGACTAAACTGTTTTGTCAGGCGCTTGTAAAGGTCAGGTGTGCCTCAAGTCAATTGGTCATGAGTTCAAATGTATTTCTGTATTCACAATTCTGTGCTGCATAATTAAACATACATTTTCTGCTGACTTTTAAAAAACTGTTAGTTTTCTGTGTTCTTATGTCAAGCATGTATTTATTCTTGATTTTCAGTCCAAGTCAGCCATGCTGTGTAATCTGAGTGGCTGAAAACTGAGATAAATAGGAGGAAAAACAAATAAATGTGGATGTGATAGGAAAAACATTATTTTATTACAAATATTTTCCTTGAATCTCTTGGGAAGTAATCGGTAATGAAGAAAGTGTATGCGTACTTATATTATAGGGGGAAATTTATTTATTTTTTTAAATATCGTACGTATTAATTTTCTTGGTGGAATTGAATTAATATAGAAGTTTAAAGTTCAGCTGACTTTCTGAGTCCTGCATGTCTAATGTTCTTTTTGCTTGCAAGTTATTTGTATTATCTGTTATTTGCACAAGATAAGAAACCTATTTGTATTTATTTTAAAAGCAAATATTATTAAATTATTCCAAAATGTAAGACCCTTAAAATAATCTCTTTATTATAATAAATTGCCAATAAAGCACTACATTAACATTGTATGATGTGTTTTCACTGATGTATTTATCATTAAGTTGCATTTATGTTAATTAATTTGCATGCATATCACAATTCAACAAATCACAGACAACTCAAAGCCACTGTCCAAATTTCAATCAATTATTTTAATCCATTTACCAATACACTGAAGAATGTCATACAAAAAAATGGGCCTCCTGATGCAATTTACAGTTCGAATAACACGATGACCAAACATTTTTTTTCTTTTTCTATATTTGTAATCCACAATCTCCATAAACTAAACAACTCGTCATTATTTGGTTTTAAGTAGAAATATCCTTTTTCAATAAATAACGTTTTTTAAGCTTCTGAGTAGAGCAGCTGTTTCCTCGAGCATTTCAAAAGACATGTGGATACTTTCGTTGACAAGGTTGATAAAACTGACAAATGAAAATAAAGCCGTAGAGAGCAAAAGCCTCTCGATGTTAGTCATCATCTCCTCCGCACATTTTTAGCAGACTCTTTTCCCCATTTCCCTCGGCAATCAGACTGAAACAGAACAGAATTTGATATTAAAACTTCAGTTGACATCTTCAAGTTCGAAATCAGAATTTTAAGATTTCTCATTAGATTATTAACAATTTTTTTATAAGTATACAACATGTCTTTCTGTCGACAAAAAACAAGTTACAGGTTAGTAGGACGTGAGTTCAAGAGGAAGCAGATTCTTCTTGTCCTCAGGTAGACCTCGTGTTAGTTAGTCCTCTCCTCCACAGATGGCCGTCACACACTCCCCAAGGCTGTCCGACAGATCTGACTGGAGGACACAGCAACACAGGCGAGGAGAACAGAGTCTTCACAACACATTTACCCTCAGCGGTGGAATGTAACTAGGTACTTTAACCTAAGTATTATTTTTAGGCACTTCACTTGATCATTTCGATTTCATGCTGCATATTATTAATTCATATTGGGAAATATTGTAGTTTTTACCCTTTTATTTCTCTGCTTCAGTTCTCCTTGATTACAAGATGACTCGCATTTCTACACTGTGGCATTTTGTATTTTACTGCAGACAGTAAAAGATCATCATAGACATGGATGAGTACTTGCTCCACTAATGGTGATAAGCATTTAGAGAATGAGGATTTTTAATAGTTTAATTGACTAAAACTAAGATGAGAATGGGAGGTATAATTGTTGAATGATGATTATAATTCATTTTAGAGTTATAAGGTGGTTATATTTCACACGGACATTGTGCGTTACAGCAGTAGAAACTTGCTACCTTACCCTTAGTTTGGCTATTTCTAATATTAGAGCTGTTCTCTACGGTGGCCGAGAGGTGCAACCGGTTAAAGCGGCCCCAAACACTTCCATTAGGAGAAATGCACTGCAGCTTTAAAAACGATGCAAATATAAAAAAGACAAATTGGCCAAACACATATCAATGAAGAAATATCTTCACCAACTTGACGAAACATGCACAGCGTTTAATCAAAGAACTGCATATAAATGCTGAAACTAATGAGAACGTGTTAGGCCGTTGTAGCGCGTTTGCACCTGTTGACCGCCGTAGTTCCACAAGTAAGAACATTTTTAAAATCTTCCTTACTTTTGAAAAACAGCTAGACTCAGCAGTATATTGTATCTAGTCCTTTTGCGTCCCTTTCTATTATTCTGTTTTCAGATACCTTTAACAAACATTCACAAGCGAAGCTGTTGTGTGTTGACCTAGGAGAGTGGGCCAAACAGCGAGGACATTTTCATTTTAAAAAGGTCTGTAGTGTTTTTTTTCAATAGTTGAAATGAGTAGCAAGCTTACTTAACCCAGGAAACTATTTTCACTTTTCAGAAAAGCTGCAGTGGTCTCTACAAATGATGGATGTTTAGTTTTTGAATCATCAAGTCCTGAGACCAAATCCAACCATGTAACCACAGGGTGCAAAAATAAAAAAACACAACAGTCAGACAACTCCCAACATTTAACATAAATCGGACGACATATACCTCACCAATAAACATTTAAAGATTCCCAAAGTTAGTAACATGAGTTTTATGTCATATGGAGAATGCTCCTGTTACCCGCGGATTAGACATTTTTAGTCTGTGTGTCTCATAGGACCTCTTGACTATTCAAACAAACACTTAAAAAAAATCAATAGTGCTTGACAGATACAATTGCATGTGTATAGTTGAGTTGATAGTCCTATAATTACATTAAAGTAAATCCTTGTATGTACAGTGACCTCACCTCAATGGCAGAGTGCAGAGAGTACTCGTAGAGTTTCTTGAACTCGGCTCTGATGTCCAGCATATCGATCTCAGAGCGGCCCACCATGATCCGGTTCAGAGTCGACTCGTCTGTTCCTCCACCCTGACAAAACACGGGAAACATTTTTTTCAGTGAAATAACTACTGACTTTTCTGTCAATGTATAAAACAAGATCACTTCTAGTAGATTAGGAGGCCATTGCGGGGGTACGGGAAGAAGGCTGTGTACTAAATATTTTAGTGTGTATTGTATCGACTCTGAAAATATACTTAAAATGTTCAGTATTCATACTACATTACATTTTCTTTAGGTGTGTAGTGCAGCAGTGCAATGCTTAAGGTAATTGGAGAGTTGGAATACTATGATGATAAGTAAATAGAGCACATTTATAGAATAAGTATGTAGAGTGTGTGGGAGAGAAACTCCCTCTGGGAACTTTGGGATTTTAGCCTTTGCAGACCATTTGCATGCACAAAAAGGCCACTCTGAAACGTGCATTTTTGATTTATTGGAGGGGTCTGGGGGGGTCCGAAAACCAGTCAGTATCTGGTGTGAGGGTTAGGATTAGGGTTAGGGTTAGGGTAATGTTGTGAATCAAAGGGCCCATGGTGGTGGTGGGGTTATGGCGTATGTTATGGACGATGAACACAGGCCACTCGATTCACAACATTACCCTAACCCTAACCCTAATCCTAACACCAGATACTGACTGGCACCCCCCCAGACCCCCCCAATAAAGCAAAAATGCACATTTCAGAGTGGCCTTTTATTGTGGCCAGCCTAAGGCACACCTGTGCAATAATCATGCTGTCTAATCAGCATCTTGATATGCCACACCTGTGAGGTGGGATGGATTATCTCGGCAAAGGAGAAGTGCTCACTATCACAGATCTTTTCAGATTTGTGAACAATATTTGAGAGAAATGGTTATTTTGTGTATATAGAAAATGTTTTAGATCTTTGAGTTCATCTCATGAAAAATGGGAGCAAAAACAAAAAGTGTTGCGTTTATATTTTTGTTCAGTGTATATCACACACTACAGGAAAGAGAAAACCCCAAAAAGCATAAGAGGGCCCCTTTAAGTGGGAGAACAATTTAGGAATTTTAAAGATAGGAGATAATTTATTTTACATTTCTCACTGCTGAACAGCCATATAAGTCAACAACTGATTTAACTAAGCCAATGTGTAAGAGCCTTCCATTGGATAATGACTGCAGTGATTAATATGTTCCAGTAGGCAACACGTTATCTAACCCTAGCTGATGCGGTGAGTAGCTTCTCTTTCCTTGGCCTCTGCTATACCCTTTTAATAAAATCTGTTTGTTCACCTTCATGCTCTCATACAGGCGCTCTGCAAAGAAGGCCGGTACGCTCTTCACACATTTCACTGGAGGAGTACAAAAGTTTAAAACAACAATGTGGTTAAAAGTTGATTTTATACAAAAGTAAAAAGCTATAAGAAAGAAGACATTACTCCCATAAGAGACTATTGAAGATATCATTCTGGGAAGACTTTCCACAAGTTGTTGTACATATAACATGTAAAGCACAGACGTAAAGCACACATGTAAAGCACACATGTAAAGCACACATGTAAAGCACACATGTAAAGCACACACCTATAGCCACCAGGAGTTCCTCCAGCTCCCCTGACATCTCTCCTTCGATGCTGTGCTGCAGAGTCTTTCCACTGATGTTCTTGTATTCAACAAGAGCTACAAAAGAAAAAGTGTCAGTTTACAATTCCAATCCCAAATTGACCGTTGTATGTGTTCTAGTGTAGATTAAACACAGTGTAAACTCAATGTGACGTACTTTGTCTCAGTTGAGGTATACTTCTGTTGCAGAGGATGTCAACAAATTTAGTTTCATCCGTGCCCCACTTCTTCTCCCCAGCATCGTAAAGGGTCTGTGGACAGAATAGATTAAGTATCAATTGTACGTTTATTACTTTGCTTAAAGTCATCTCACATATCTTTTGTCATTTATACAGTTTGTTCATGTGTAGTTTTCACAGCGGATTTGAAGAGGAATAAAACATGAGAAAGCCACTGGTGTCTGCCTGTGCTAAAGGGAATTATAATCAGGGTCCTTTACATGATATATTCCACTATTTAAACATGTTCAGTCATGCTTCATACTGCACCTTGGCGTCTTCCTTTGCCTTATCTGCATCCACTGCAGTGTTGTCTTCCCTCTTGCCCTGAAAAATAAACAAAAAATATCATTAACCCTTGACTGGACCCTACACTCTTCCATAAGTGGGTCTAAAAGGACCCGTATTAGAATAATATGTGTTTTTATGCCATTTTTGTCCTTTTGTTTAAGAAAAATCACTTGTATAATATTCAGTATTATAATTTGGTTCACACTAGAAATATTTAATATTAAAATGTTAGACTTTTTTTACATTTTGAAAAAGAAAACGAAATTCCATAGAAATGCATGCGGGTCATTTTTGACCCACTTATGGAAGCTTGGGGTAGTAATACAAAAACTACAATTTCTTAAAATTTAAATGGCATGATATCCAAAACATGTTTTTTGAGGAATAGTTGGAATATGAAATGATAAACATTTTTAATTAAAAAGATACCACCTCACCGGGTCAAAAAAGACCCACTTATGCATCTAAGGGTTAAAAACCAACATACCTCTATACATCCTATTTTAATGAAACACAAAGTGGAAAGCAAGGTGGCTTCACACTGTAGAAACTCCTGTCGTGCGTACAAGCCTTTTTCATATCCAACTGAACTGGTTTACTATCCCTTTATGTTTAGTCATTACGATGAATGTGAAGATGAAACATGTTTCGAATGGACTGATTGTTAAAAACCTGCACAGTTCACTCTCATTATTATAGATACTGTATGTAACCTCTTTCCTCCCGTAATTTTCTTTTGAAACTACTATTTCAATTGTTTCTTTCCTTGAAAGGAGAGGAATAAATAAAAGGGGGAAGGACAATGTGATCTTAAATGTGAGCAGATTCCTACACAAATAAAACATTAAAATAACTTGTTCACTTAATTTTGTGACTGAAGTTTGACTTTGTTTTCTCTCTGGTGCACCTATCCCTGCACTCTGTCTGGAATATCTCCGGTCTTATGTAAGTAAAGATATATATATATATATCTGGACACAGTTTTCCTTTATCATGAAGACAAACCTCGGCCAGCAAGAGCAGCGCATTGGAAAAGTCTCCGGAAACTTCACTCTTCAGGTCAAGGGTCAACATCTTCTCGGTTTCTGTTGAGGGAAACAAACTCATGATATAAAGCGGTGCAGTGATGATGATCTTTTTGTAGGCTAATCCGGAAACTAGCATTGCAAGGGCTCCTTCGACAAAATCCAATTATTTCACTAACTTGCAGAAAATCAGCTTTGTGGCCAACACAGATTTGTGATGCTCAACACTTTTTGTTCAGCAGGATAATCTCCACATATAACACTACTTTGTGGTTTTTGAAACGAAAATGCAAAAGGCCGAAATAAAAAGCTAAGCTAACGAGCTACAGCATGGTCGCGTGGCTGAGTATCAACACCACTGAGCTAAAGGCTTAGTTTCGTCAGTGGGATGACATTTAGAAGTTTTTTAGTCACTTGTTAGCAACTGTCAATTTTATGAAACATAAAAGCTTCGGACATTCTCGAGTGGGCTATTTACGGATGTATTTTATGTCTAGACTTCGAGGGAAGTAGTCAAATGCTCTGTCTTTTCTGGGTTTTAGGACCACTCTATTAAAAACAAAATGTATCACAATACAAGAAATGTATACTCTTAAATAAGCTAGTCAGTCCAGTGTTTTAGATGGGCTGTCATTCACTCACATTAACTGGGGTTGCACTAGAATTGTCATTTTCCCTTAGGAAGGTTCCTAAATGTATTTATTTATTTTTAAACTTTTTATGCTCTTAACCTTTTATTTTTTATATTGCCATATTTGATCCAATATGCTCCTTTAGATATGTTTTTCCTTATAGCTTTGTGAAGCACCTTGAGAAGACGTTGTCTTTAAAGTGTGCTGTATAAATCAAATGTATTATTATTATTATTATTAAAGAAGTGAAATGACCCGGAAGTAGCAGACTCACTGATTCGCTTGTTATCTCTTTCAGTGTACTGGACTATCCTTTACGAAATGAAAAGGACAAAATGCTGTTCCACATTATCTTGCAGCCGCCATTTAAAGTGACCATTCGGTCGTTCACAGAGACAACCGATCAGGATCGACAAATGTGGATCATGTGAGTTAAGTTTAAAAAAAAAGAAGCATTTTCCATCTTTCATATCTTGAATAATGGAGTAACATGTTTGTCATTGTTCTCAACGTTCATAAAGGCCATAAGAGACAACATGATGATTGAGAATGCACAGGGTGAGGTATCTAATTGCGCTCCATCTACGGAGAATTGTAGTTTCACCACAGCAGATGTACGTCAATGTCCGTTAATGCATCATAATTACATCGCCCAGGGTAGGTGCAGTCAGATTATTTTGGCACCGCAGATATATTTTCCTAAATACTGATGGCCTCTTCTTCAACTCTTTTCTCATCACCATGACGTTTAGTACTAGTTAAGGTGAATTGGTAAGGAAAAGACCAATGATCTGCTGATTCAACTGCAGCAAACATGTGGATAATCAAGAAGGCAGTAAATGGATTACCTTCCAGATAGACATCAGAGAGAGCTTTAATTTGTTGGTTGGATCTGGAGGCAAATATTTCAATCAAGACGCTGTCCTTTGTCCCAGCTCCCTGCAACGTCACACATTAATTGAATGCCAATAACATTATCTACAACAATTATTAATGATAATGGTAACCTGCATGAATACATTTTTCAGCAGGGTACAAATATCTCCTATAAACAGACAAAAATAACAATTTGATCAATACATATAACTCATAGTACATTCCATGCTTTAAACGTAACTTTAAGTTCAATTAAATGGTGAAACCCCTTTATTACAAATGGAGGGAGACATTAAAGAAGATAAGCAAGACTTAAGGATTGGCTTTAGCTAAGAATCAGGGTTCTTAACATAGTTACGTTTTTAAAAAACAAAACATATACAATGTATTATTCTCAGTTCTACTTGCAAATTCAATGTACTCAAAATGTTTTTAGAATATACTTATTTCCTCATAGTAATACTTATTTTGTAAAGTTAAAAGTTAAAAAGAAGCCCCTCATAAATCATAAATCTGACATGAACTGACTTGCATGGCCCGCATCACTTCATGGCAGTCGTACACTGCAGGCGGGGTGACGAGCGCGACCAGCAGCTCCTCAAAGTCTCCGCTGGTGTCTCCTTTCAGGTCCTCCACTAGAGTCTGTGACGTAAACACAACCTGTCACTTCTCAAGCAGAAGCACACACATTTACAACCACACCCTTGCAAATACACCCAGGCCTTTAGCCCAGTCAGACTCATAACCAGATACAATTTTACATCAAGGAATGTGCCGCTGTGTACAAGAGCTCTGGTGGAAAGATGAACAGTAAATATCACCTCAGGTGTCAGGTTCACAGGAAGTAATGAACCACATATGGTAACATGCAACCTTTAGTTACACAATAGTATAATGCCAAAATGTTAAGTACATTTTTTTAAATAAAATTGGTGTAAAGTAAATACAAAGACTCCTACTTCTTAAATGTAACCCAATCCCGCTAAGCTAATAGTACAAATGGGTTTCAAATAAGATGAAAAACGAGCTCATTGTGTGATGTCTGTGAGCACAGGGCTAGGTCCAGGCTTTTAATTATGATTCAGCATACATGACTCATTTATCATGAGACCAAGCTGCTTTTTAAACAAAGTACAAACTTTTTTCTGAGTTGTTTCAAAATGAACTATATAAAAAGGATCTAAACATTTGAAGTTAAATCAGCAGCTCTATCTTACTCTTCCAGTGGCTCCAAGGTAAGCTTCACAGATGAGCTGCCTCTGAGCGCCGCTTCGATGGGTCAAAATGTCAATTAAAACCTTGTCTTTGGTGCCTGGAACATTAAAAAAAAAAAAAAAAAAAACGTGAGGAGAGACATTCAATAAACATAACAGCAAGTTTATTGATCTACATTTGCATGCCGCAAATAAAATAAAACACTTTAAAAGTTGTATCTGGCTGGCAGAAGTACAAAAGAAACAAAGTGTGTAATGCTTTAATTGTATGGCTCTTTATGCCGATTAAAACATTAGATAGATGAAATATACTTTTGTATTTCAGTCGATGTGGGTTCCGTGTTGCTCTGTTGTGCTACTGCCCAATACTGTGTGTGTCTACTGTCAATAAAATACAAATTAATTAATATATTCAAAATGTCATATATTTAAATAAATGACTTAAAAAGATACAGTAGCTTAACCTCATCACAAAAGGTGAAATATATTCCACTAGAATCAACAAATAAGAGTGTTGGTGCTAACAACTAAGCTAACGGTCACCATGTTGTTAATGCTACTCAATTAGCATTAGCAAGAACCTTAGCATTAGGCTTCTACATCAATCTAAAAATACCACAGGGACTGACTATATGGTGTGTGTGTGTGTGTGTGTGTGTGTGTGTGTGGGTGTGTGTGTGTACCAAGTCCTTCAATGGCCTTCCTCAGTGCCACAACATCGTCTCCTGCATCAAAGTCTGCTTTGGGCTTGATGGTTCCTCTCTCTCCAGTCTGAGGGACAGACATTTTCCATCATTTGTGCTGTAATCATAAATATCATTGTAAAGCTTGAAATCAGTGTAAAGTTTAGGTTGGACCTACTGTTGCTTCAAACGAGGAAGGGGAATTCACAAGACTGTCCAAGTCATCCTGCAGAATGTTAATCAGTTAAGTATAAATGTAGGCAGTAGGCATACAATCGGGTAAAACTTCACAAAATACATATTTTGACTTACCCATAAAGACGCCATGATAACGGGAAGTTACTCTGTGAAAAATATAAAATAATCATTCATAACATTTCTATCTTGGCAAGCTCTGGCATAATTTTGGCTCACCATACTCCATTCGTAAAAAAACAGCACAAATTAAAAAGTGTTGATGAATGATGATAGAAATAGTTAACAAATGCAATTTAAATGTGTTTATAATGTCTTACTAGGTAACCTTGCCATAGTGTGTGTAATGTATTGGAACATTTTTTGTTCAGTCAAGCAGTGTTTAGTGGTTGTTGTTACTTTATATCTCATTCAAACTTTTATAATAGTCTGTTAGATTGCTTCCTGTGAAACTCGATAGCATGTCTTACGATAAAATATTACTTTATGTTAACTTTACTTATCACAATTATTTGACAACTGATTAATCTCAAGAGAAAACTCTAAATCTTGAGATAGAAAACAGAGATTAACTTTTAACTATTAAAAATCATTGCTTTTGCTCTTATTTTTTTTAACCTGTGCTAATGCGACATATATTTTTGGAGATGTACTAGTCTTCATCCATCCATTAAAATACTGTAATTGTGACCTATAGAGATAGTATTTCTGATTGCTGTGATCCGTGAAGCTCTGCCAAATTTGCCACAGGATAATGTTGACACATCCATGTTTAATCAGCTGGTGAATATGTTCATCTTGCATCAAACTTTCAGAATCAGTACGATAAAAATGTACACAGAAACAAATAACCTTTCAATCTTATTTACAAGGGAATTAACAGAAATCACCGTATACAAAAATATCACATCGTTAGATCATAGCACATTTAACTAATTAAATGAAATCTTTGGTTTTGCTTCGTGATAAAAAGGAATTGAAACATATCATTTAATTAAAAGAATAAACTTCAAGTATTAAAAAGCGACGTATAAGAAGAAAGGGTTGCTCACCTGGATTTTAGTTTTGAACCGGAAAAGTTTTTCTCCGCCACACCTTCTTTCTCCTTGCGGAACCTGAAATATCCACCTGGAGTCACCTGGCCACGCCCACTCTGTGCACACCTTCAGGGACCGCTCGGACATTTCACATTTATAAATATAGAAGGCCTGCCTCTGAAAAGAATTAGATGTGGCCAACGTCTTTCTTCATAATTATGAAATATAAACAGCGCGTTTATATAATCCGTCACATTATTTTGAATAGCTTTTTCTATTAAGAGGAAACGTATTCATATTTTTCTTGACTTTCCTGTTTATGAACATGAGCGTTTCCTAACAGTGAGCTAACTACTGTCAGTGTTTTGCAAATGTAACGTTAATTTGGATTAGCTAAACTCGTGGTGGGTTTATTTGACATTTTCAAAGTGTTAATGCTTTGTCCAATTGTAAAATTGAGTGAAAAAGTGTGACTTTCGAGAATGATTGTGAAAAAATCTGATATTTTCTGTCCTTAAACATCCCATCCGATTTGTTGAATATATTGCCAAAACTAGTCATACAGTTAATTTACACATCATAAACACAATGTTATACAACATGTTGCACAAGAAAAACTACCTCTGTGGGTTTTAATTTTTTTTATTACTAAAAAAGGCACCAAATACAGGCATCATGTTGATAGCATCGTAGTTATTTTCCACAAAATGATAGCACCAAAAATATATTGTTATTTGCCACAATTTCCTGTTTCCATGTTATTTTGATAGGCACACATTTGAAAGAAGACAGGAGGTGGGACCAGGAGATGAATGGATAGAAAGACATGTCTCACAAGACAAGACAACTCTTTCCTTTGCAGTGCTCTCCAACCAGTGTCATACACTTTAAAGTAACTTAAACATCATGGGTACATCAGTAGCATAGTGTTACATAATACATCATAGATGGTAACATAATAATACATAAATGAGAAGAAAAAAAGTTTAAAAAACAAGGGAGGGATTTAGTGTCTTTGGGCGGAACAAAGGCAGGTAGACACACATCTCTTATAAAATACATCATTTAAAAAGTGATTATTTTCATAAGAATGGTAGTAAGGCTGAAGCATTCAGTCATGTGGACGGGAGTGAAACCTTTGTTATGCAAACAGCGTCTGATTTATTAAAATCACATGGAAATGTTCTCACTCGTGAAAAAAAAAAGAAAAACACTTTGGATGATTCGTTTTTGAAATTTGTGAGGAAAAATACTGCATGGCACTTATTATTGGCAGCTATAAGAGTACAGTACGTACAAAAAATATATCAGTTTTGTTCAAGGTGACCGCACAAATGTCTCTAAGTAAGGCTTGAAATACATGTTTAATGCAAACATAGTTCCTGCTCGTGAGGGTAGGATTAACAAGATGTATTGCGTAATTGCACTTGAGTATGTCTCATTCATTTTTGTTATTATTTACACTCTGCACTCATTCTGCCTCGGGCGATCACTAAATACTTTCAGAAGTCAGAAGCAGCTGTAGCCGATGTAGAAGTCCACAGGAAAAGGTTCTTAAAATGAAGTCATCTGCATGATAACTGTAGCATAGATGAAGAGGACTTGACAGTAGTGACATTAAGTAGCAGTGAAATGACTCAATACAGCAGAGTTTTCCCATTAAAACAATCACCGGTGTCTGAGCTACCAGCCACCATATTGGTGCTAAGAAGGATGTAAATGTCAAGTCAAACAGTGATGATAATAGTGGCGGTTTAATATGGAGCTTGAATGATGGGATGCAGAATTTTTGGCTGTTACTCGCAGCTGAGTGGTTTGTGGATTCCTGAGGTAGCCCAGTTGTGAAATGATTCAAATGCTGCGTAGCTGTCACTCTTCCCTTTTTCAAAGTGGTATAAAAATACATTAACAAAAATCTCATTCCTTAAGTACAAACTTTCTTTTGGAAAATACCTTTGTTTTTCACTTCATCCTTTTTCTTTCTTCTCTCTCCTCTGTGTTTTAGACCTCAGTGCCGTCGTTAAGATTGTTGTGGAGTTTGACCTCCAGGTTGACCTGTTTGACCTTGGTCTGGCCGTTGGCGTCCTGGTTGCGGTTGATGTTGATGTTTCTGACCGTGCAGTGTTTGGAGCTGAAGTTCTTCTCCATACACTTGTCCATGCACACCTCCACCTTGGTGTTGAGCGGATACTCCTCCAGTACTTTCTGAGCCTTCTTGCTCTTCCTCGCTGCAGAGCGGCGGCAGTGGCGGAACAGGAAGCAAACGGCCAGCAGGACCAGGACCAGCAGGGTGACGGCCGCCACGCCCCCGCCCACAGAGCTGCCCACGTGGGCATTGAAGGAGGCGGAGGGCCCGGCCTCCAGGCGGAGCGACTTCATGTTGGTGCCGTTCTTCACCTGGTCGCCCTCGTTGTCGTAGATCAGAGACTCGTCGAGCGTCAGGTGCCCGCTGCGGTCCACCAGGTCACGTTTAGGGCGGCTCAGCTCGTAGGTCACCGAGCGCTGAATCCTGGGGCCGGACCGAGACTCTGGGCTGATTACATAAATCACCTGCAGGTACCACTGATGCCCCGCCTCCACCTGTCAATCAACAGAGAGAAAGAAGGAGGAGTTAGATAGTGAAGCAGTCTGCCCCATTACTTGAGGTCCCACCTGATAACTTACTTACAATACTACCAGAAATATTGTAATTAGATTTTTCTCTACCTTTTGTTTTGCAACTTATATATAACATTTATTATTTATATTTTGTTTTATTTTTCATTCTTCTCCACATTATACTTTAAATTCTGGACAATTTTCATATCACGTTTTTGAACATTAAAGCATGGAGATATAGTAAAGCCACTAAATACAAATGTGACCCTGAAAATGAGCCTAATATGTCCTCTTCCATAGCAACATTGAGCTCTTTAATTGTTGTGAATTCACCTGGATAGATCGTGAGATAGGGGCTCAAAGGAGCTAAACAGGGGAATGGCTGAAACACGAGTCATCACAACGCTGTTACACATCACAGTGTAGTGCAGCTGCCTCCACACACCTTGTAGAGAGCATCAACCTTCATTGTAAAACCGTCGACGCCCGGCATGGCCGACATGCTCTGCAGGTCCGGGATGTCTGAGGCGAAAGAAGCCTCGAAGGGAACGTCGTGGAAGAAATTGTCACTAACGTCCGGCTGTTTGCGATCCTGCAGAGGAAAAGTGCAAAGAAAGAATCAGTTTCTATTCTATTTTCTTTATAAAAAGTCGGAGTATTCTTTCAATCTTTTGGAAATTGCAAATACTTATATATAGTGACGTTCCAGAAAAAAGTATCTGCTGAATAGTGTAGGTGCAAGACACATGCATTAAAGCAGTATTCCTGCCCGACATAATAATGGGTTGTCAACAACACCAGGATGATCATTTACATGGAGTGAAGGTAGTTCAAATAACCCACATGCTTTGAATATCTTTGAACAATTCTAGTATCCAGTGGGACTGGTCAGACTGGTCCGGCAGGTGAAAAAAGGGAAGATCTATGTAAGTGTGAGAGCTTGCATAGCATTGCAGGAAAAACATGTTATCTTCCCTCGCTTAAAGGTAAATTCAGATATTGATCGCTTGAAACTAAACAAATCAATTTTTGCTTTGGTTTATTCTAACCTGAAAGGCAGGTTTTCAGCAACAGCATTAGTGAACCTGCTCTCTTCAAATAGAGATCATTTGCATATCTCTAATGAAAATGTTGTGGTTGCATCTTCGTTTCCAACTGCTGGAGCCTTTCATGGTATATATACTGTACATTTATTAGATTAGATGTTTATCTATTTTGATAAATAAGAAAATTACCAATTTGTATTTCAATTTTATGTTTTGTACAGTTTCTTTGAAAACATCTACTGTATCCGTTTCACAATTAAGGCTTCCCGCAGTTCAATCCCTTCTCTCTTATCAGCAGGAAGTGTCTAACACATACATAGAAAGAGAACATCTATCAAATGTGAGACTAACAAAAGATGTACAGTTATTTAACCTGTAAACCTGTGTTTTTTCAATAACTCCTTCTATATCATGTTTGACCTCTTTTGACCTCTTGTGTGGCCAGATTCTAAAGCTGTCTGAATCCTTAATATGTTAGTTAAAAGATATTTGTGGGCCACCAGTGCCTTTATTGAAGAGACAGAGTTGAAAGGAGACACAGGGGATGACAGGTATAAAGGGTACTAGTCTGGTCTTGAACCCTTGTCCCTGTATCCTATAATAATATTCAGCTGCAGACATATGATGTATTTGAATAACGCTCTTGAAAATCACCACAGCCCAGAGTAAACAAAATAGATGTTTGTACCAGCAGCAGGAAGCGATGTTTGAGGTGCTTGTTGGGCTGGATGCAGCCGTACTGCGGCCCCTCGTTGTACAGCGTCCCTGTGGGGTCGAAGAAGGGAACGTATCCATCCCTGCCGGTGCAGAGGTACACCTTCTCCAGCTGCAGTTTGTATGCTGCGTTCAGGTTCTGCTCTGGATTCCACAACACCCTGCCGTACAGAGTTTGTCCTGTGGAGGGCAGCAGAGGTAAGGGTTTGTTTTTATTTGTACATAAACATGTTTGAGTTGCTTAAACCTTCTTTAACTGCAACTTAAATGCAGTGAAGATTAGAATAGTATCTTGGTATAATGGTTAAAACTTGGAATAAAGGAAAATTGTTAGTTAGCCGGGAACCTTACTAAAATAAAAAGAGTCTTTGTCTGTCTGTCCTATACGTTTTTATGTCCACTTGTCGTCTGTTTGGATGCGCAGCACAACTGGTAGCTAAGCAATCTGTTCAAACTCCATTGCACTAGTCTCCTAAACTTATTTTCAACCTACAGTAAATAAGCAGCTTATTGCTCTTAAGTAAACTTTTCTAAACAGCATTTTCTTTAAATCAGAGCTCTGTTTCTCTAAACATACCCATGGAGAAGGCTCCCTTATAGTCCATCTCAGCCATGGAGACATCAGCAGTGGCCGGGTCCATCATGAACAGCTTCTCGTTGTTACACAGCTGGAACTCCGTGTTGAGGGAGTAAACCACAGGAACGGGCCGGTTGGTCTGCTGGAAGGCGATCGGCACCAGAAACCTGTCAGACAAACACCAGACAGCTTAGGATTCACAAGCTTTTTCCTATTTGTTTTGTTCCCATAATGCACCACCAGGCTCTTAAAGGTCCCATATGTTTATAAATATATATCTTTCTTATTATAAAAGCAGGTGTAGTTGCATTGTTGTAGGGAGAAATAAACACAGCCTGTATTCAGAAACTTGGCTTTTTTTAATGTTATGATGTCAAAGCTATACATACAGTATAAATAGGCAGAAAGTGCCTCTATAGTATACAGTTGACTGGACTTTTCAGGGGGCGGCTTAAAGAGATGGGCGCTGAAACGGAGCGTTTCAGACAAAGGGTGAATACATGAATATCCAGGCAAACAGTATGAGGAAAATTAAGCTTTTTTTTAAACAAAAAAGTAGATAAACATTTTCTAGTAGAAACACAAAATACAGGTTCAACCCCTGAAAATTGACAAAATATGTGTCCTTAAAAAAAGAATTTGTCATTATCAGCAGCAGGGACATACTTCTCTGGAGCGTGAGCTGTGCAGGACAGAGGTTTGTCCCCGGGGTCGATCCAGGGCTGAGTGGGCTGCACGGTGCAGGGGACTAGGAACACTGTGTACTCTCCGGAGTAGTCCTTCCTGTTGAAATATTCCCAGGGGGATTATAACCAAGGCACAGTCAGGTTGAAATAAAAACCTTTTTAAACATGATGATTTCCACAAAACAGTTTTGGTTGTTCCCCAAGGAATGTTCTGAGACTCCCTGCAGCAAACAAGACGTAGTTAAACATTACTTTCTTTATGCTCATGAAACAGTCTCAATGTAATATTGAATCCTCTATATAACGTAAATAAGCAAACAAGACCAGCTACTTTTAACATAAATATACCATTGAATGATGGTGGCTAGTACAAAGTTTCGTCGTACAGCTAATATTCTGACATAGCCACATAGCGTGCTTTCTTCACTTGCTATCAAAACTGATCTATAATTTTCAGCAAAGTTGGTGCCAATCTAATGCTCTCTCTTTAAGTTGAAATCTCTTAGTATTACAACTTCCAGTATAAATATCCCTTCCTGAACCATCAGATGTCAGCATGTCTGCGTTGACTCAGGCCAAGATGAAGTGTCTGACCTGCTGTAGGAGCTGGTGGCCCTCCACAGCTGGTACGGTGAGTCAAATGTCTGAGCGCTCCACAGCAGCTGAATGTCGAACTCGATGCCTCCGAGGTGGTCGGGGGCCATCAGGTGGGACTTGTGGCCCGGCAGAGTGTGGTGCTCAGGGACAAACTGACCTGGAGGGGAGAGAAAGAGAAGAAGACTTTAAGTGTAATGCTCTATATGGCAGTGGTCTGGCTGAGAACATCCTTTATTTCATACCAAAATACTCAATCAATCAATCAATCAATGTTTATTTATAGAGCCCAATATCACAAATGTTACATTTGTCTCAGTGGACTTCACAGTTTGTACAGAATATCAGTATGACAATACGACACCCTCTGTCCTTAGACCCTCACATCGTACAAGGAAAAACTTTCAACACTTTCTAAACAAGCTCTGGACTTTTCTTTGAACTTAACATCTGAAGTGGATGTTGTGAACTGACCTCTGAATTTGGCGTGGGTTTTGAACTCGATCACCAGTCGTCCGTCTTCTCTGATGTAGATCCTGATGATCTGCAGTCTGGCTGAGAGGACGCTGTCAGTCTGGATACCTGCACTCAGAAGAAAACAGAAAAGGAAGTCAGAGGCAAGATCAATATGACAGCAGAAGAGCAAAATCTGATTAGATAAATACAGCAACATTTCCATTTCACAACATGAATAGAATAGAGAACATAATATAGGGACTTTGTTGGGAATGCACAAGGTATAATGAAACCTTTTGTTGTACATTTCTAATAGAGATTCACTCAGTTCATTGTGTCCCTGCTGTGTTTGGCCTGACCTGTCCTCCAGAGCACCGTGTCGTAGAAGAAGGAGAACTCCATCTCGGTGTGATGCTCCAGAGACGCCCAGCCTCTCGGCGCTGTCACGTAGATGTAGGACACGTAGAGAGGAACCTGCACCGTCAGGAAGGACTGAGCCGAGTCCCGAACCTGGAAGAAAGACAGCATGCTTTAACATTCTCCACCTGCAGGCCGAGACCCATCAGAGGGTCTCATGGGGATTGGAGGTACTGTGAATGAGTACTTCTTGAGTCTTCTTGATTGTTAGGTATTTTATGGAAACAGCAGTAGACAAAACAGATTCCTAGCTCCATAAACTCACTCGTTTTGGAGGTTTTCATGGTACTGTTTGTTTGAAAGTCAAGAATAGACTGTCAATCTCTACTTTTAAGCAACAATGTTCCCAAAGAAGGCCCAAAGGTTCAATGCATAATCTCTGTTTAATGACAACTGAGCAAATAGTGACTGTGGTACATGGTCAAAGGTCCCAGACCAAGTCAGTACTGGACCTTAAATGGAGTTTTGTCAAAGACTGACTAAACTAAAGTGATGATCCGGAATTCGATTTTAATTGTAGCCTGAAATATAAGCGCTAAGCATCATCAGGTAGAAGCTCAGTCTTAAAATGTACTCTGCTGAGGGTTCTGCTACAGAGTAAAGTGTCTCTAATTGGTACATTTGGTGAAAAAACAGTTCTTATGTACCTGGAAATCGGCAGTCACAGAGCCACTGCAGACATCGATGAGCTCCGTCATGTCGTAGTAGGCGTCAAAGGTCCAGATGCAGTTCTTGAGGTTGAGGTGCTTGTAGAGCTGGATGCTCTTGGCCTCCCGGACGTTGGGGTTGAACTGGTAGGGGCGGTCGTAACCCGGCCCCAGAGAGATGCTGTCAAAAGATACGTCGTCTAGGAAACCGGCCTCTGTGTAAGAATGTCGTCAAAGTTTGTATTAGTTATAACAAATCTAAAAGAACCTCAGAAAAGTATAATTTAGAGGAACAGTTGGTACATATTTTAAAATAACTTTTTCATTATTGCCAAAACTGTAACTTTATCCCCATCATTGTTAGCTGGCCGCCATGTTGAAAACAGTCGATCCAAAACCACATCGACCACCAAGCTAATTTTCAAATTTTATATCTTAACAGTACACTAAAATACTTTCCTGAAAACATTTGAGGTAAGAAGGCAATGCTGTTACAAAATCCTAATTACTATTTGATCAGGGCTCCCAATACTTTGATATTACTTGGCTCCGATTGGTTGTTTTACAATAGACGTGGGTGACTGTTCAAAATACCAAGAAGAGCACTGGGGGGGATTGTCTTAATTTTTCTCCTGCACTACTGTCAAGATATAGTGACTGTTTTTTTATATGGCAAAAACATATTTTAAAAATATCTGGTTTAGGCACAATTCTAATCCATTACACAGGGTATATAACATTGCAAGTAACTACAAAAATAAAAAAAAGGTTCCAGTTTGATGCCAAATTACCAGATGGTAACCCTAAATGAAATAGAGCTAACCATATGGGTAAAAGAAAAAAAGATTTGGAGGAGGAACGACATACTGTACTTTAAATGTAATATGTTACATAGTTTCATTTATCAGGACACCTTGAATATATTATCACTTATTAATTACATATTTCCTAGGATTCTAAATTACTTTACATAAAATGTACTATTATGCAAATGATGTGTACTTAATATCCTGCACATGACTATGTTTTATTCGCTGATTTGATGTTTGTTGGCATCGCATCACAGTGATTGTGTGGTTGTGTGAATGTGTGGTTGCGTGACTGACCCGAGACCCCCTGCAGCTCTTTGAGGGTAACGAGGTTGGAGCAGACATGCTGCTGCCGGTAGATGGACTCTGACAGCAGGAAGTGCAGGTTGTGCAGCGGCATGGTCGACACCAGGGGCAGCATGCCGTCCTGATGGGGGATCTGCACTGAGATGTGGATACTGAACAAAGAGACAGAGAAATTAACTAACAACACATAACAAGAAGTTTATCCATTTTCAAAAGCCAACATCTGCCCGTTGCGTCTCACCGGTTGGGATGCTCCTTGTGCTTTACATCGAGGTATTTGAGCGTAGCGATGAAGGACTGAGCCTGGAAGCCCCTGGCGGTTCCCGTGGTTACCGGCGTGTGGCAGATGGCGCCGTCTGTGCCGATTTTGGCGATATTGCTCCTCAGCGGTGTTCCAAGGTGACCCGCCTTATCCCTGGCCTGAGCAACGCAGCGCACGTGGAAGCGACGGCTGAAATAAATACTGTCCAGGACCTGAGGGACGGCAGAGGGGATGATACATAAGAGATGACAAAAGGGAAAAGATGGCAATGTGGACAGATGCGTTTTGACCACAAATCATTGTAGTATTACACCATCTGAGCTAGCTAGCTGCTGCCTCTATCATATTATTAAAATCATGGATTGTATAAATACAAATGACATTGCAGCACACCTATAAGTGAAGCCTAAACATCTCAAGTGGCCCCGGGTGGCTGGAGTATACAATAGATCATAAATCACGTCTCTTATATTTTAAAGGATGGGTCATAGGACAAATTAAAAAGTCCTCTCCAAATACAGTTTCCCAAAGTTAGTTTCTGTCATTTCAGGTAATAGTTTCCACGCTGATATACAGTATATTCAACTGTTCATTTATTTGATATGTTTGGTTTAAAGTAGTTATTTGTTGCTATTAAAATGGTGACTGAAGGATTATTTGAATTATTTGAAGTATTAAAGTAACGTGTTATGGCAGGAAAGTTAAATCTGGTATATTCATTTTAATGTCACCTTATATATATTCATGTGTGTTAAATTTGAAGGGACAAAGTATATTTTCCCTCCCCAATATATTGAGGTGAAGTCTTTGTGTTTAGAGAAGGATGGGAGCAGGGGACATCCTAATTTGGGGATAGCTCCAAGACTCTGGAATGCGTTACACATGCTTGGGGCAAATATGTGTGTTTTCATTGCAGTAAAAATATATGTGCTGCATGATTACTGTTCAACTATACCTCTGTTTTTATTCTTTCATGTGCGGGTACTAAATGGCTACAAACATTGTGGAGAAATTAGCTTAAACATGTTTTATTACTCTACACCAAATGGAAGCAGCTTTTATGACAGGGACGAGAGAGCTGGGGGAGGGAACATTCTTCCAAAGATTTTCAGCATGTCAATTATCAGGGAAATCTACTTGTTTTCAATAGACGTGTGTGGTTGGTTACTTTGTATTAATAATAACAGTATGTGTAAAGGAAGCTGGAAATATACAATATGAAACCTTTTATTTGAAGTAAAGATGTGAACAATAGCTCAAGCAAATGGAAGGGCTGTAGGACAAATGAGTGTGTTCTCTATATTAGGCCTGTGTGAAGTTTGACTATTTGAAAAGCATCTCTAATACTGCTTAAGAGCATAGGTAATGTGTTCTTCGTTATTATTGATATGAAAGTGATTTACATGTATTACGTATAGTTAGCCAACTATAACAACTATATCTTAAAACATACTTTTAACTTGTGTGTGGTAGCCTGAGGGGGGAAGATGGACTCAGGGACAAAGGGCCATAAAAGGGGATGTGTGTGTGCTGGCTGCAAGATGTGAAATAAGATCAGGTTCGTACCGGACACCAAGAGGTGTCTGGTTTTCGTCAAACTAAAAGAGACTTTTGGTTTCCGGGTTTCTTCTGCTGTATCACACTGATTGGGGGCGACCAGGCCATGTGATGGTCTCTCCCAATAAGATGACCTCTGGGGGAAAGCAGGCACACACCTCCTCCTGTGTTTTACTATGAAAGCCTTTGTTTTCCTTTGGTTGGCGCTCTTGTTTTTGACCGGCCGTTCCTGAGACCTGTCTCACACGTGGTAGAACCTGAGCCCGGAGTACTCTGCAGAGTGCTTCGTGATTAGGAGATTGGGTGATGTATTTGTATGTTTGTATAATTAAAACAAGATTATTGTTTAACTTGTATTCTGGTGTTTCTTAATCCCTTCCTTTTTACGAATTTACCCAGCTTACCAAACGACACGCGGAGACGAGGTTGGTTTTAAACATCCTCCAAATCTCCAACATGACAGACTTTATTATTGACACCTGCCACATATATCTATAGAAAGATATTATGGGTAGTGTCTTTGGTACTAACGTAGCAGCTACGCGGCTCATGCTAAAAAGCTGTGGCTGTGCCTGGCTCTGGATTGGCTCTGGTGGTTGTGAGGGCGGGACCTTGTCACCACAGCTCGAGCCCTGCTAAACAGACTCCAAATCTTCAGATGGTAGCTCCACTTTGGGTAATTGTTATCACGCTGATGTATATTCAAGTTTGGTGTAAAGTAGATCTTTAATGGTATACAAAAGGGGAGAGACTTCATGATTGACAGCTGCGCTCAGTGAACATTATCACGGAGGCTCTGGAATTGCAAAAGGGAGGAGATGTATCTTTCAAAAGCGGTCACAAGTCTATGTTATTAAGCTCTGACAGATTACATTTTTTGGAGACATATAACAGATATAGAGAGATATTATGGGAAGTTGTTGTGACTTTTTGACCTAACAGCTAACATGGTGCCATTTTGGCAGCAACGTGGCTCACGCTAACAGGCTATGACCGTCTCTGGCTCCTGAGTGGCTCTGGCAGGTGTGAGGGCGGGAACTCGTTACCAGAGCTCCAGCCCTTAGGTCACTACTAAACAAATTCTTAAGATGGTAGCACCTGTATCTGGATCACTTTTCTACAGCAGATTGAAAAAAGAGACGCGGTGTACATGTAAATATACATTTAAACTCTTCTTTTAAAGAAATCCCCACTCACCATATGGTTGACGCTGGTATACGGGGTGGTGTCCGTGACTGTCTCGAAGGGGGAGCGGGCCCCGTTGGTGTCTGTGGGCGCTGCCACCTCCCAGGAGAAGTGAACCTGGGTTTGGTTGATGCCGGCCTCCTCGCAGCGCTCCTTCATCACAGAGTACTTGGGGTAGTGAGGGTCACAGGGGGTGACGCACACCAGAGGGTACCCTGGAGAGGGCGTCTTCTTGCTGCCCTCTTTTGTTACCTCCTGGACGTGATCATAGTCAGCGAGGGAGACAACCTGAGGAGGAGGGAGGATGGGTACTGATGAATTCTTTCTCTTAATTTAATTGTTTTTGCTCCAATGGAGAATTGAAGAATAAATGATGTCATTATTTCCTTTAAAAGTCTCCTATTATACTATTTGTAGGCATATATTATAGGTCTCAGACATTTAAAAAACATGTCTATGAAGTGTTTTGCTCAAAATACCTAACAGATCACCCATTCTAGCCATGCCTCATACGCCTCTATTTCAGCCCTGTTACTAGAGTGCTGATTCCGGATCCGTAGCTTAAAAAAAAGGGGGAAAAAAAGAAAAAGAAACGAGAGCAGAGAGGAGAGCTCATGCAGGAGAATTCAATCCAGATACTCAGCTAAAGGTTGCTGTGGTCATGTTCCAAACCACATCAAGGATTATTTCTGAAACAGCAGGGAGCTCAAACTCTTTTTCTCTGACGGGTTTACCTTTTTATATTCTGCTTATTTACACATACTCTCTCCAGTAAAGCGTTAGCCCTGAGTGTTAGCTTTGCTTGCTAATGTAAACACAGACCATATTACTTCCAAAACGCCGCGCATTGTTTCTGATACAGTGATGTTTTTGATGGGGCCGAGGGCGTAAAGCCAGCCCACATTTCCGATATTACGTAATATCAGTCAAATCTGGATCAGCTGCGTTGTACCCCCTTTTTTAGAAGGGTAAGGAGGAAAAGAAAGAGGGTTGTATTTTCGGACACACAGGGGACACATTTCTATGTATAAATGACATAAAAAAGTGCATTTTGCATGATAGGAGACCTTTAAAAACGACTGAAAACCAATCTTACAATAGGCGTAGACGGTAGGATAAGGCTGCCTGAAGCCTCCTGATCCAAAATGGTCACTGTTGCCATAGTGATCTCCCCGAGCACCGCCTCCACAGGGTCGTCAGGGCCGAGCACCAATGAAAAGGACTCGTGCCACTCCCTATCTTCATTGGACAGAATCTCCACTTTAAACAGGATGTGATCCATTCCTACAGAGGGAAACAAAGAGAGACATTTCAACCTGACATTTACACAATAATCCTTCAATCATTCAAGTGTGAATTTTCAGCACTAACCAGGGGTGAATTTAAGCACTCTGCTCTTGGGATTGTAGTCAACGCCAGACTGGGCCGAGCCGTCCCGGGTGCTGCAGCGGATCTTGGAGGTCCGGTCCAGATCCCCCCCACGGACCACCTTAATGTTGAGAACCTCGATGCCATCGGGACCAGGAGGCTCTTTGACCTGATAGGACGCCTGCTCAAACTCAATGGTAGGAGCTGGAAGAACAGGGGGGCATTGAAAGGTCAAGGTGCTGCTCTCTGGTGGTTGTACGGCATATCATAATTATTGTTCAATTGCCAGTTTATAAGATTAAATAAATGTAGTTTAATACAACCACCCCGCGATAAATCCTCTCTTCATGAAGGTTAATGATCTGTCTTTGTTCATACTGATTGTTGATACTCACTTTCTAGGTATGATAAGTATGTGAGCTGATTTATGTAACACTAAGAGCAGTTTGAATATGTATTCTCTCAATGTCATACAATGAGGGGAGGCAGGCTCTAGGATAAGACCACATTTTTTTTTCAACAGTACAGAGAGACCTTTTGTATCATCAAGGGAGACATCTGATGAAGCCTGGGAAGAATTGATTGGTTAGAGAACACAAAACATTAATAATGACCAGGTTGTATGATGTGACAATTCATTTATGTATGAATATCAATGTTGAATCCATTGTGTATTAGCTATATATTATAAGTTATTATGTAGTTGTTGTGTTAGTATTTAAGTGTTATGTTTGCCTTGTAATCAAATAACTTCTTAACATGAAAAAAACAAAACAGCTATCGAACAAAAAAAACTCTTACCTAACACGAAAATAAGAATATTTGTGTACATGTAAAGAGATATATTGTTGACCACATTAGGATATGACAAAAAAACACGTTAAACTAAATGCCAAAGCAGACTAGAGTTTTTAAATAAATAAGGTCAGGAGCATCTCCACCTGTAGTTGACAACATTATTCCGACACTTACAAAAGAACGTTTTCCGCCTGATACATTCGCAAAAATGTGTATTCATCAGAACAGAATTAATATGGGAATGCAAAAAGTGTTCTTCATTGAGATTTTACTCAAAGAACATGCAAACAATAATTTCTTAATAAAATACATTGAGAAGATACATGGCTTTCATGAAAAAAGTTAAACAAAATGAAGGTGCCCTGGTAGTTTAGTGTCAGAATTCATCTATACCCAGTGCATGACATTAAGGTGTGGGCCATCTAAGCTAATTTACAGATGGCCCTGAGCCCAATAGAGATTGCCCTGAAAAATGCGCGCGGACGAAATGACGCACGAAGGGTTTGGGGGGCCTCCCNGTCGGAGGTCAACCAATCACAGAGCTTGAGGACTAATCACGGGATTTGAGCAAAGCGCATGGTGTAGTCTCAAACGATAGCTGAGGATTATGGGTAGTGTAGTGTCTTCGGCCATCCTAAACAACTATTTTTTTCTCAGAGTCGAAGGGGAAGAACACAAAACCGTTGTGTAATTAACAAGGATAATCTGGTGTTTTTGAGTTGATGAATAGTGAAGATATCACTGTAAAATCAATCGACAGTAAGGAGAATACTTATTTCCGGGAATAAAATTCTCCTTGATCCAATGGGAATGGACACCAGTGCATGACATTAAGGATTTTGGGAGATGGCCCTGTGGGCCATCTAAGCTAATTTACAGATGGCCCTGAGCCCAATAGAGATTGCCCTGAAAAATGCGTGCGGACGAAATGACGCACGAAGGGTTTGGGGGGCCTCCCCCTAGAACATTTAGATTTTTGCAGGTCTTCTTAGATGCTGTCTTGTGCATTCTATAGACTGAATTATAAGATGAACCACCACAATATTACAATTTCAATTGTATTCTTCATTTCACTTGTTTGTGTTTGCTCGCTTGCATGCCCTGCATAGCTATAAGAAATACTTAAGTTGTTGGTCAAGACACTTTCCATCTGTTGAAGGCAAATGCCTTCCCAGATGTAAAAAAGTAGAAAACATTACATGCAGTTATAACTGCCAAAACAAACATTATTTACGCTATTATGGCCCCTGTTAAAAATGTTTGTAATGTTATCTACTGTAAATTGGTCGAAGGAATGCCTCCTCATCCAGAAGCTGACCGAGCAGACCCGAGCAGCCGAATGCATCCGCGAAGCACACACAATGGCGACGTCAGAGTTCCCGTTAGCAAGCAAATCTAAATCTCTTTGGTCAAAATGTCCGGTCAAAATAATTCCCCTTTAGCGCAATACCGCTTCAGTTGCGCCACTTATGTGACAGACAAGAAGAGTATGTGACAGACAAGAGTAGTCAATTCTAATGTCTAACACGTAATGTGGAGAAAGAGATGTGCTGCATACAGCACATCTCTTTCTCCACATTACGTGTTAGACATTAGAATTGACTACTCTTGTCTGTCACATACTCTTCTTGTCTGTCACATAAGTGGCGCAACTGAANCCAGCAGCGCTTCACCATGGGACGGACGTCTACAGAACCGCATCCAGCTACAACCACGACACTCCCAACTCCGGCTCAAAGGACCGCTTCCCTTCAAAGCGTGGGCAGATTGGCACACCAAACCTGCTTCATGGGTTGGAGGAGGTGGGAAAGGAGGTGTGTGTGTGTGTGTGTGTGTGTGGTGTGTGTGTGTGTGGTGTGTGTGTGTGGTCTGTGTGTGTGTGGTGTGTGTGTGTGTGTGTGGTGTGTTGTGTGTGTGTGTGTGTGTTGTGTGTGTGTTGTGTGTGTGTGTGTTGTGTGGTGTGTGTTTGTTTGTTGTTGATGTGTTGTGTGTGGAACATATTTAGCACATCAAAGAACAGCTACATTTGCCAGATTGTGTTCTGGGTGTGTGTGTGAAAGAGGGGCAGCCATCTTGACGGTTTATTATTACAGCTAAATGATTGAATGAGCCAGTGTTACTGTAGATGTTGTGTTTGTGTGTGTGTGCACGCTTCTGACCTTTTTTTATGTGGACAAGAGGGGTGGAATCCCATCAGTTTTGTATATGCTCTTTATGCTACCATTTTTGGTGCCAAACCAAGGAAAGTGACACGTTTGAAAATAAATGTTTGCAGTGAGGCCAAGTATGGTCATTAAGGAAAGTATAGGAAATATTTGGGAAAGTGTCGACACATTATGAAAAAAAGCCCTTTGGAAAAGAAAAGACGTACCTGTAAGGGGAAATGTGAAGATGTTTGGGGAAAAAACATATGTATATGTAACAGGTGGGGCCAAAGAAGTATTTAGTCAAGCCCCACCCAATTGTGGCAAGTTTCTCCCAAATATTGAGAGAGGCCTGTAATTTTCATCCTAGTATAACCTCCCAACTATGAGAGACAAAATGAGAAAAAAAAGATCCAGAAATCACATTGGTAGATTTTTTTATTAATTAAATTGGTCAATTCCTCGGTAAAATAAGGTATTTTGTCACCTACAAACCAAAACAAGATTTCTAGGCTCCTCACAGACCTGTAACTTGCTCTCTTTAAGGACATACTCCTGTCCTCCACTTGTTAACTGTATTAATGGCCACCTGTTTGAACTCGTTATCTAGTATAAAAGACACCTGTCCACAAACCTCAAACAGTCACACCCAAAGTCCACTGTGATGGCCAAGACCAAAAGCTTTCAAAGGACACTAGAAACAAAATTGTAGACCAGCACAGGCTGGGAAGACTGAATCTGCAATAGGTAATGCAGCTTGGTGTGAAGAAATCAACTGTGGAGCAATTATTAGAAAATACGAAGGCACATTACAAGGGGACACTAATTAACTCCCTCGATCTGGGGCTCCAGCCAAGATCTCCACCCCGTGGCGTCAAACATGATCACAAGAACGTAGCAAAATCCGTATGAAAGCCGACAGGAAACCTAGTCAATGACCTGCAGAAGGAGCTGTGACCAACGGTAACAAAGGCGATACCATCAGTAACACACTACGCCGCCAGGAACTCAAATCCTGCAGTGCCAGGACTTGTCCCCCTGCTAAGGGTGCATACATTGTCCAGGCCCGTCTGAAGTTTGCTAGAGGAGCATTTAGCATGAATCCAGAGAGGATTGGGGAAAATGTCATATGGTCAGATGAAACCAAAATCGAACTTTTTGGGTAAAACTCAACTAGCGTGTTTTGGAGGAGAAGAATGCTTAGTTGCATCCAAAGAGACACCATTACCTACTGTGAAACATGGGGAGTGGAACCATCATGCTATTGGGAGCTGTTTTTTCTGCAAAGGGACCCAGGACGACTGATCCGTGTAAAGGAAAGAATGATGGGCCATATATCGTGAGATTTTGAGTGGACAACCTCCTTCCATCAGCAAGGGCATTGAAGATGGAAACGTGGCTGGGTCTTTCAGCATGACAATGATCAACACCCAAAACACAGCCGCCTGGGCAACGAAAGGACGTGCGCTTCGTAAGAAGCATTTCAAGGTCCTGGAGTGGCCTACGCCAGTCTCCAGACCTCAAACCCATAGAAAATCTTTGGAGGGAGTTGAAAGTCTTGTGTGGCCCAGCGACAGCCCAAAACATCCACTGCTCTAAGAGGAGATCTGCATGAGAGGAATGGTTGCCAAAATACCAGCAACATTGTGTGTGAAAACCCTTGTGAAGACTTACAGAAAACATTTGACCTCTGTCATTGCCAACAAAGGGTATATAACAAAGAATTGAGATGAACTTTTGTTATTGACCAAATACTTATTTTCCACCATAATTTGCAAATAGATTATTTAAAAATCAGACAATGTGATTTTCTGGATTTTTTTTTCTCATTTTGTCTCTCATAGTTGAGGTATACCTAGGATGAAAATTACAGGCCTCTCTCATCTTTTTAAGTGGGAGAAATTGCACAATTGGTGGCTGACTAAATACTTTTTTGCCCCAGTGTATATAGAAAACACAAAACTATTTTTACATCATTTTTGTTATTTCTTATTTCCTTCCTGATAATCATCTAAAATCCCCTTAAATCAATCTTCCTAACTATTCAGTGGCTAATTTTGTTGACTATAAAATCATTGGTCTGGAATGCATTGCATGGGTCCTCACAAGTGTAGAAATATAAACGTGTGTGTGTGTGCATGTGTTTGGTTAATGTCAGCTTTATGGAGGTAGTTATAAGCAAGCCTCAGGGTGAACAGGCTGCAACGCTTGTCAATGAAGTCTTCAGTCTACCTACTGTCACTACAAATAGTCCATGTGATT